AGCAAGCAGTAAAAATGCAACTGAGCAGTGTGAGGAGTTCCATAGGATTTAAAGGGATGCATTATGTGTCTTTACTTCATTTTTTCAACGTACCGTATTTTTCGCTCCATAAGACGCACTTTTTTCCCCCAAAAAAGGGGGGAAAGTGTCAGTGCGTCTTATGGAGCGAATATGGAGCGGCTGGTCCGGTATTTCCACCGCTGCCGTGTCAGAATACCGGGCCGGCCACTCAGCTCTGTAGCGGGACCTTACCTGTTCCTCTATCCAGCCACGCGCTGTCTTCCCGACTTCTGTAGTGTGGGCGCTCGGCTTGACAGCCGGGTGCCAAGTGCGCATGCGCAAGAAGCGGTGCTCTTTGTGAATGGTAAGGCGGCACCTGGGACACATGACAGGTCCCAAAAGCCGCCAGACCAATCAGAAAGCGCAGCACTTCACGCTCATGCGCACTGGGCACCCGGCTGTCAAGCCGAGCGCCCACACTACAGAAGCCAGGAAGACAGCACGCGGCTGGATAGAGGAACAGGTAAGGTCCCGCTGCAGAGCGGACACTAACCAAAGAACAACTCCGCGCAAGTAAGAGCGGGTACCTGTAAATTCAGGTACCCCCTCCCCAAAGGTCAGCAGTTATCTCCTGTACTGTCCACAGTCTCTGGTCATCCCTGTACTGACCGCAGTCTCTGGTCATCTCCTGTACTATGTCTGCAGTCTCTGGTCATCTCCTGTACTGTGTCTGCAGTCTCTGGTCATCTCCTGTACTATGTCTGCAGTCCATTGGTTCAGAATATTTTTTTTTTCCGTTTTCTGCCTCTAAAACCTAGGTGCGTCTTATGGTCAGGTGTGTCTTATGGAGCGAAAAATATGGTAATCGTTTGAAAGCCGCCAAAAATGCAAATGAAATGTTACCGACTGGTGTGAAGCTTTCCGTAGGACTTAAAGGGATGCATTTTTCATGCATTTGTCTTGTGATTTTTTTTTTTTTAACTGAAACAACTAAACTCTAAGAAATATATATATATATATATATATATATATATATATATATATATATATAATTTTTGTTTAGTTTTTTTTTTTTTTTGCAAAAGTGGAAATATCATTTTAAAGGTGTTCTGTAGCTTAAATAAAAACTCCAGCCACATTTTCTTGCCAAAGTGGGGAATTTTTTATTGATGCCTATGTGGTTGAAGTTTCCTCTCCTTTATTGGGGTGAGAATTTCTTTTTTCAGTGGGGACACAGTAAGCAGTCCACCCTGATGGAAGTTATAACCCTTTACAACTATCCAAAGCCAAAAGCAAACATTTTGGCATGAATTCTATAGCAAACAAAGATGTCTCCGGTGATTCTAGCTTTTTAGTGTATCAAATGTAGAAATACTTCCTCCTTCTGTTTTTATTAGCTAAAACAGAACTGCAACCTCTTTGTTCTATGGCCTTCATGTCTGCGTTGGAATCATGCAGATCTTAAGCTTTCCAAACATAATTCCGTTCACAAATTCCTTTCTTTGGATGTAATATCTCTTAAAGAGAACCATCATGGGTGAACATGTGGCAAGACAGCACAGTAGCATAGTGGTTAACTTGTAGAGCAGGATTCCTGTTGGTGTTATTTAAGCTTGCAGTACTAGAATCCTGGTGTTATTAAACAAAAGGAACACAATCTGCATGCAGAGTATTTCCTCCAGAACTCCCATCTCTTTGGACAATATTACACTGGGCTCAGGACAGGTATAGTGACAGGATGCTATGGACAGCCTGCCCATTCGCTGTCACCAGCTTGGTACAAGTGCCAAAAAAGCCTTTTTTGCTTTATGGCCAGACTTGTTATCAGCCCAATGCATGCACACTGTTTTATCTGTTTTTTAAACAAAAAAGGTTTGTATGATTCATTACCGAGCATTGTACAGGGGGATAGAATGCCACAGATAAATTTGTTAAGGTCAAAATCCATTAGGGCACACATTTTGGGAAAGTGAGATTAACCATGTTTTATGATAAGCCTGTTTAGGTTAGTGTTGTGAAGCGGTCCTGTGCTGTAACTGAGATTTAAAAAAAAAAACAAAAAACTTTTACATTTCTTAGAATGTAAATAAAATTTATGAATTCTCTGTGTTGTAGTGGTACTCCTTTACAACACTGATAATTCATACATTTTAGATTCTAAGCAATATAAAGTTTTGGGGTTTTTTGTTTTTTTTTTACATTTCAGTCACACTTCTTATTTTAGGTTTAACCTAGCCATCGAAGCAGAACTTCAGAAACATTAGCAATTACCCTATTCTCTCCAGCCAGTGTTACGATGCACACACCTCTGCCACACTGCATAAGCAGACAGGTGGCACCCTTTTTCTGGGTTTTAGCTTCTCGTGCCACCATTATGGCTGAGTACTACTCAATGGGCAATGAATACTCTTCATTACTCTGAGGGCAGGCAGATGATGCATAAAAGCTGTAAAGATTTGGCAGGTTAATCAATTCATATATATGTATTTAGATGTTAGCCAAAATTTCTGGTTCATTCCATGCTTAATTGTTTCCAATTTATGATTCTAAATTCTTGATTGGTCATCACTTTGTGTCTTCTAGGGACGAATTGTTTCCTGTGATCTCTCTTGTGCACAGCTTTATGGCTATACAGATCCAGAGGAAGTTCTTGGGCAGCACATTACAGACTTGATGCCATCAGTTCAAGTCCCTAACCATAAAAAAGAATTGTCACAGGTAAAAGATACAACTGCATAATTTATCATTAATTTTGGGACATACAAAAGAGATGTTTGTGTCCTACCTAAGACTGCTCAACAAAAAAAACCTGTGGCAATGCCAAAGTTTGGAAGACTTCAATGTGGCTGTTAAAGTGTTTGTAAACCCTTACATATACCCATTGTAGTGACTGGCCTCACGTGATACACAGAGATGAAACAAATCCCCTACATAAGTTGTACCTGTTTACCTGTAGTCTTCTTTTTTTCTACATCTGTTCAAAGTGCTGAATTATAAAACTTGTCTGAGAGTTCAGAAAAAAAAAACGGGCACAGAGACGAAATTACACACTGCAAAGCTCAGTAAGGGTAGCTGTGAGAGCTGATTGGAACAGATCTGAGGCTGTCAGTCTCCTGGAGCTCCCTCCCCTGTAACCATTTTTCTCTTGCTGTCAGAAAAACTTGTTAGAAGTGACTCATGCTGATAGAAAAGGAACGAAGCAGCAGACAGAAATGACACTTAGTGCTCTTAATTAAGACAAGTACACACTGTAGAGGGATATGGTTTGTTCATTTTTCATGTCTGAGGTTTACAAACACTTTAAGCTGCTACACGCATAGGCATATTGTACAACCTCTTTTAGTTTTACAAATAAAATATGTAGTGGAAGGGTATAACTGACTGGTAGGTCTTTGCTCTACATAGTTTTTTGTAAATTTAAATGAGCAGGGACCATTGTATAATGCCCTTATATTCCTCTTTGGGAGCCCCTAAACTTGGGGTATTTGATTGTGCAAGAATCTACTTGTGAAATTTATGGTCGCCCCCTTTTTAATTCAATTACTCAATATTAGTCCATAGCTTTATCTGATAGTAGAGCACCTTGAGTTTAATGCACCCCTGACATTTAGAACCTAGGTTCCTGCTTTACAGCCGCATTTGCAGTTTACTATTTATGACAGTTTATTGTTTCAAGATCCCTTTAATTAGACATTTCCACAGTGACTGTGCTTTAGAGAAATGACTGAAGTTACTGTATTATAAGGACATATAAATTACAGCAGTGAAATAGAGAAGAAAAATAATTAACACACAAATGAAAACAATATACCGCAACTCCTTGGAAACATGCGCTTACAAAACAAGGCATCAGACCTGGAAGAAATAATCTTGTTAAGATGTCATGAGAAAATCCTGCCCTTGCTGCTTAAATCACAAAGTAGATGTAAACCCTCGCTCATTGGCATTTAGTTTGGTAAAACACTGTATACCATGAACAATTTTATTTTTTCTTCTTAAAATACTTGTTTACACTTTTTCTTTCATCCTTAATTGTATCTCTTGCAACTTTTTTGCAGACATTTCTTCTCTACATGCATGCACTCCAGCAACATGTTTGTCATCAGCCAAAGACCTAGCTCCTCAAATGACAAAGTGTAACTAAAGGCAAAACTTTCTTTCATTTTGGCTAAAATTAAAGGGAGGGTTATAACCCCTGTCGTGTTCTTTTTTTTTTTTTTTTTGCCCAATAGGGAAGATTTCCCTTTACTTTCTGTCCCATAACCAAAACAGGAAGTGAAAAGAAATCATTTCAAAGTGAGGAAATCCCTCCATGTCACCCTGGTCACCAAAATTAGCGTCTCTATTGAAAGATTTCCCCTTTATTGCTTTTTTAGTGTCAACCCATTTATGGGGATTTTCTTTTACTTTCACTTTGAATGATAATGGTAAACAGGACAAAGAGGGTGAATGTCCCTAACAGGGTCACAGACCGCAATAAAAACATAATAGGTGTTCTAATCAATCTCCACCCTATCCAAAACTAAAACTGTTCCTAACTGGAATGTGCTTGCACAACTCTTTAATTCCCCCCCAAGGTGCTTATTTGTAAGGTTAATGATACGACTCAGAGAAATGCGTCAAACATTCTCAATATCTGTGTGCATTGTACACCTGATTTACCTATAAATCTACCATTGAGCAGAAGAATGACACAGAATTTATTGGTTATTCTCAGACCAGGCAAGGTCTGGGATCTACAAGAAACTCCTTCAGGATGGGAATAAGTAAGACTAGCTTCTTATCATTCGCTGTAATCTCTTTGCTTTGTAGACTGAAAGCCAGGTGGTTGAAACTCAATAAAGAATTTATTATCTGATTCTTTATCATTGCGCCAAAGTACCTTTTGACATTTTTTTTTTCCTTTTTAGAGCATCCAGCACCAGAAGGTTGTGGGTATGTCACGGGATGGTGTCACTTTTCCTCTTAGTCTGACTCTGATAGAAGACTTTGCTGAAGGTGTATCTTCAGTGGAAGAATACTATGGCAGTATAACTGTCCTGTCCTCTATCAGTGGCCTGATCACCCTCCTTCCTGATGGATCCATCAAAGGCTTAAATGGAACTTTTTCACACTTTCTGTTTGGATATGATCGAACACAGCTCCTGGGGAAGGTAAGAATCTGCCACACTCTTAAATTGTTTAGAAAAGGGGGCTTTATAGTCTTTTTAAATTTTGTAGGTATACTGTGATCCTTTTAAACGATAATTGCACTTTTGCAATAAAAATAAATAGTTACACTTTAAGCCTAGTGTCAGAAAGTGTCTTTACAAACAGGAAGACGGGGAGAAGCTGCTCAAAACATGCATTCCTATCTCTCTATAATTGAGAATATCCCATGCGTTCAAAGACTGATTGTTTTCAGTCTTCAGTGAACAGAGTGCCAGTGATGGTCAGTCACCGGCTCTCTGCTCTGCCCCTCCAGTGCTCACTGAAGTGCCAGGCTGTAGAGGGGGCAGGAGCAGCTGGCTCAGGCTCAGGCTTTCATTGGCATGCTGAGGGGCTGAGCCAGCTGCCGGTCATGAATGGGTGTATCCCAACCATATGTTTGTGATCTTTCCAGAGCCTGGACCAGCTGAATGAGGCCAGCTGTCAGCTGAAAATGGATCACAGGAGTGCAGAATGCACTCCTGCGATCCATAGGAGAAGTATAGCCAAAAAATCTTTGACTATACTTTTAATCTCCATCCTTGAAAGGTATCCCCAGCTGACTAGTTTAACCTCCCTGGCGGTATTCCCGAGTGTAGCTCGGGGTAAAATTATAGTACCACAAGCGGTAACCCCGCGCTACACTCGGGAATACCATGCTGCACTGCTCTACGATCCCTCGATCATTACCTTGTCCTGCACTCCCGCAATGTCCCTCCTGCAGAGTCCCCGGCAATGAAATCCGGCGGATGCCAGCATCTGTCATCAGGGTTCCATCCCCTGCGAGCGTTGGGACGTACGGGGACGGAACGGCGGGAAATTCAAAAATGACAAAAAGTGACATTCACTAAAATCACATAGTAAAACATTACTGTATCAAACCATTTCACATACATTTTGTCCCTAGTGCTTTGTCCTGTGCCCTGCCTGCATTTTTACTGTTCTTATTGCCTGGAAACTGAGAAACGTCCATAGCGTCCAAAAAGCGTCCCTTTAGGTCAAAAGCGGTTTTAGACCAGCTAGAGAACAGCGATAGTAAATCAGAACTACTTGCAGAATTGAGTGATAATGATTCGTGGGAAATTCGTCATCAGACACTGAAAACGATTTTGCAACTTTGCTCAGTGATGTGCGAACTTGGCGCTATATTTCAAATTTCAGTGTTTTTGGTTTGATTTATATTATTGAATTAAATGTATTATTATTATATTATTATTTTTTATGATTATTTATTAAATTATAATTTATGATTTCGTGTTTCAAGTTTTATTCGTGATGTTTCCTAGACTCTTGTACGGACAGATTTCAGTGAGTTATTCCTAAGAATTACAGGCCTACAATATAAAACGCCAAATTTCCATGCAAAATAATGGTACTGTTTTCAGCACCAAAAATCTGAAATAATCATACCGCCAGGGAGGTTAAAGCAGATAGCAATTGGCGCTGTTGAGCTGACTAAAGTCGGGTAGTTTTCTTTTTTTCCTTTTTTTTTTTTTTTCCTTCAGCCAGTGGGATTCCTATACAAACAAGGTGGATGGAGGGATCCCCCCTAAAGTACATGTGAAATATAAGTGGGACCAATACTTATGCATTTCTTTAAATTTTAGGGATTATTTTCTTATACCAGTAAAAAAAAAAAATCTTGCTATCTGTGGCTAGGACCAGAAAACGTTTCTGAAAATAAACTTCAGTAAGGTAGTCTAAAAAAAAAAAATTGTCAAACTGTACATCTCCAAAGCCTATAAAGGGTCCTTGTCTTGTCGGGGGTCATAAAATCCCCAAAGCAGATCAGGGTTCAAGTACATCTTTAGCCGTCTCTTAGCTCTGTAAGAAACTACAAATCCCAACGATAACATTAAAAAATGCTTACTTGCTTGAAGCTGTTTGGTAATTATGTTGTTCTTGTTTGGGCCTATTGTGTTTTAGAATATTACATTTCTGATTCCTGGATTTTACCACTACATAAAAAGTGCGGAAGAAGAGCCAGCCCTGTTGACACCACCTCAGGATCTACGTGCTCCAGCCAGATCATGTGAGGTTCTCTACTCTAGTGTGCCTGGTATGTGAATCACTAAAAGTTTCTTCCCCTTGGAGCAGAGGTGTTTTCTATGATGTATGAGTTCATTTTAAAAGAGGAACACTGAAGAAAAAGAAAAAGTATTAACATACTTTTTACACTATTATAGATACTGTGGCCAGCAGCAGACCAAAACCTACCTTTTTACCCAAGATGGTCTTTTCTTTCCACCCCACCTACACTGCTTGGATGTGGTCAGGGCTTTAAGGCTCTACCTAGCAGCCACATCCACTGTTTGTCCCTCTTTATTTTTCCTGTAGGAGCTCCTAAAGGGCGTCCTGCTTCCCACTCCAGAGTTATCAAGTGGATCAGACAACCTATTTCTAGGGCCTATGCCCTGGAAAGGAGAAGATCCCTCTCTTGCTTAGCAGAGCTCATTCCACCAAGGGTGTTGGTATTTCTTGGGCTTTTCAGCATTAAGCATTATCTCAGATTTTGCAGCCCTGCTACCTGGTCCTTTGTTATTATGTTCTCCAAGTTTTACCGGGTGGATGTTCAGGCTTCAGTGGATGCAAGCTTTGGCCACAAGCTGCTTCAAGCTGTCATCTAAGTGTTTTTTGGGTTCTTATTCTTTGTTTTTTTGTGGGCCTGATGGCAGTTCTGTTTGCTATGTTCTTGATCACCCCTCATTTTATGAGGATGTCCCATGGTTTATGAATATTAGTCCTGTGTCCTGCACTGAATGATTAAGATGAAGGGAGTTTTAGCTTTCATATAAATTCTTTATCTTGGATTACAGTATAGGACCCATAACCCTCCTGCTGTTGTCTTTGATCACTCCTTATTGCGTGCCTAAAATCTGGAGTCTTATGCAGCGGGCAGGGTTATATGAGTAGTGCACAATAAGGATTGCCCTAGAAAGGTCTCGCCAATGTCCAGTCACCTGAAGGAAGCCTAGATTTATCCCATGGTCTATTAGTAAAAGTTCCGCGTCCTGTACTGCACTATGTTAAACTTCCTTTCTTTTTTGCACTTGCTGAAAAATCTTTTACTCTGGCAGGGCAGCACAGTGGCTAAATGGTTAGCACTTCCGCCTGGCAGTGCTAGTGTCGTTGGTTCGAATCCCAACCACGGCACCACCTGCCTGGAGTTTGCATGTTCTCCCTGTGCCTGCATGGGTTTCCTCCGGGTACTCCGGTTTCCTCCCACACTCCAAAGACATGCTGGTAGGTGAATTGGCTTCTGTCTAAATTGGCCCTAGTATGTGTATGTATGACAGTGAGTTAGGGACCTTAGATTGTACGCCCCTTGAGGGTTAGGGACTGACGTGAATGTACAATATATATGTAAAGCGCTGTGTAAATTGATAGCACAATATAGGTACCTGAAATGAATAAAAAATAGTTAATTGAATGACACAGCTCCCTCCCTTCTGATAGATGCTGTTTTCTGTTTTTGGTCTGTTTCCAGTTTGGAAATTGTTTTATGGAAGATTGTTTATTGTGTGTTTGTGTGTCATTTGCTGCTTTGCTACTACTGAGGTTATATGCAGTTGCAGGTGTATAGCCACTATATGTGGCTATGTCTTTTTTGGCCTTTTTCAGTCTAACCCACACATTGAAGAAGGGAGTCCTGTGTCTTCCAATGTATCCAGTGCAGAGATAACCTACTGTCCCTCTGATCTTTGCTACCTTTGTAGAACTATAATGCTCTGCTTTCTCCACAGTTATTTTGTCCACTTTATATTACCAATGCCCAACACACAGGTAATCATTTTCTAGTTATAACCAAGAGTTAAGTGTACCAGTGCTGTTACCTTTTGAAACAAACCTAATCATGTATAGACTATTTCACATAATGAGAGCTAAATGTTTGCTGCGAGTTACAGGACCGTATTATGAAACCCCTTTTTTACTTGTGTCTCCTCTTGTCAGCTGCAGAGACATCTGTACAGAGATGCAAATCTGATGATCCTTTGGAAGGAGTTCAGCATCCTGCTTGTCGTATTGTAGTGAGCCCCTCATCTCCTCAGTCTACAGGGTATCACAGTTTCCTTATTACAACTAATCTTAACATCTTATAAAACATACAATTAGGTTGATTTACTGAAGGAGTAGTGCATGCTCATTTTCAAAGTGAATTTTTACTTTGCAAAGTGTATTTTTATTAATCTTAGTGAATGAGGTGAAACAAAGGGAACATTCACTTTGCAAAGAGTGCCCAATTGTGCAAAGGACATTAAAAAAAACAGGAATTTTTATTGCACATGATTAGAGTCAGCACAACTTCACCTCATTAATCTAAGTGGATTTTCTCTTTGCAAAATGAATTTGCACTTGGCCTCGTAAATCAGATAAAGCTGTGCTCACTGTGTGTTTGTAAACACAGGACTCTGTTCTGTGATTGGCCACAGCTGATCAGCTGGTAAGCAGCCAATCATTGGCTGTAAATGGCTAACCAACTTGCATTTTGCCAATCACAGCACAGATTGCATGTGCACGTCCAAAACCCAGACATGGGCTTGCAACGTACATGTAGATTTACTGTAAGTGAGTCGGCAAGTTGCTAAATGTGACTAGATCCTATAATTTCCTAGGAAGATCATGACCAGTGGTTTGCTATGTATAAGATGTGTGCTAACAACAAACATTCTTCAGCATCCAGCTATCATTTCTACAGTCCATGATTTTAAAATGAAGCCAGAATCTGGATGGTTCTTATGGGAATCAGTACTTTTTTTGTTAGCACACTTGTCATATGTAACCCCATGGATTTTTATTGATTGATTTAATGTTTTGGCACCGGTTCATGAATAGGATATTAGAGGACACATCATTTTTTTTTTTGTAGTGTCAGCTTTACCTTCTTGATTTATCTTTGTTTAGGAGAGCTGTTGGGCAACACCAGTTTTCTTCCTCATCCTTTTCGGATCAATGCAGTCTGGGTATGCCAGCATGTTGCCTGTCTCCAGGAACTCCAACACAGGATGAGCAGTGGGACAGAGGAGCAGCAGTGGGGAAATGCATGCTGAATGACCTCCTTCCAGTGGTGGATATGGAGCCTCTCACCCACTGTTTGAAAGGCTTAAGCTTAATTGGAAATTACAGTCAGCAGAAAACAATGGATGTAAAGAAGCCCATCCATTCTCCAGATGCCTGCCCTGGCACTGAGCATGATGAAAACAGCCCTTATCAGCACTGCACTTCTACAATGAAGAAAATAAATTCCCCACCATCTCATGCCCCAGTCACAGCCCAGGTGGCTCCATTACTCAGCTGTTCTATGCTTCCATCAGTCACCCTTTCCAGATGCACTGAGCCTGCTGAGAACTTGCACCATGACACACCTTTACCATCCATTAACGTTGCTGCATCTAATAATTTCACATGCATGGCACAAGATGTGACTTGTACCTCACCTCTCATTTCAAATCCTCCATTATGTCACAGTAGTCCAGTAACCAGTAAACAATCATTTTTAAAGAACTCCTCTTCTCCACAAAATTCATCGCCTCCATTATCTACACCCTGCCCTGAACACAGTGCAGAGGATGTGTTTGCAGACACTATCCCTTCCACCAACACAGAGACAGTGTATTCTGCACTACCTCTGCGTACACATGTCTCAGCGGACTCTCAGCCAGAACAAGATATCAGTGGGTTAGACTGTGACTTACCCAACAGATCTCCAGAGAGACCTTCAAGCCATAATGGAAAAGCAAAGCCTTCAACTGAAGAATATTCCCAGGTTACCTCCACTCCTGTAAGGAATGGATCTACCTGTTCCTTGGTGCTAAAGTCTGCAAACCACAGCCATGACCCAATTCTAATAACCTCCTGTCTTAATGGTGAAATTAAAGAAGGAAACTTCAGTGGGTACTGTCATCACCGAGATGGCTCCAGACTCTGTAAGAACATATATCATTTATTTATTTTGTTAACATATCGATGGCTGTAGCAATGTCAGCTAGTCGACTTGATACCTTAAACTGTATAATAAAAAAAAGAGCATCAAGTCAAACTTTTTTTTTTAATCCAAGAGTTTCTATTAGTAAGACAAGGTGTCTGCAGTATAGGATACACAGAAGGAGTATACAGTATTACATAGACTAGTTAGATAATTGCTGAAGCCAAATGAGTCCTAATCACAGACTGTTGCAGGAATAAGTGCAAAATATAGTAAGCTCAGGTTTGCTAGGGATGCTAATCTGAGAGGGGACACTAATGAGGAACCCGATGTAAGGGGGACTTTGGGTACCCTGATATAAGGGATTCTCTGGTGGTGCAGTGGTATTTTACTATAGCTCTTTATCTTTTGGTCCGAATCATAAACTGACTAAAAAAAAAACCTAAAGTGATAATAAAATATAAAGTAAGATATTCCCTTTATTTAAATTGTATTTATTAATTTATTAAACTCATTTTTTATGCCTGCAAAGGTTTGTATAATGTATCACGTGGCCCTCATACTGAAAAGTTTGGAGACCCCTGCTATAGTGCAATAACACATGGGATTAAAACTGACACAGGGCAATGTAAAACCTCCCAAGTATACAGATACCTAGCTAGAGTGGTGATTTGATTATTTTGTTAGTGAGATTCCTCTACCACAGTATACATCTCTAGCTTACAGTAGCTAGTGGTTTCTCTTAAAAATGATCATATGTAACTTTTAGGTTTTAAGTGAAATTATTCTTTGTCAATTATTTTTTTTTTTCTAACAGCATTTTTATTTAATCGAATCCAGAGTCTCAATTTAGTTTTTTGTCTTTTCTTTTTATTACAGATATACAGTTTGAAGTGCATTCTGTCTGCTCGGCCGGTTTGCCTTTATTTAATGTTTGGGTAACAAAAGATTTAATGCAGAGCCAGAGAGAAGCAATAGCCAGGACACAGCTTCTGCTCTCCAGTTTGGCAAGTTCATCGCAGTCTTTGCTGGAGCAGTCAGAGCGAAGTCTTGGAGAGGTTGGTGCAATCAATGGCCAGTACTAGTAGCCGTTCTCTCCTAATGGTGGTATGCACAGGAATGAGTTTACTTTGCAGTTACTCTATGTTGACATCCTGCTGGGTAGTATAAATACAGTAATAGGCAGGCACCAATATAGGCCAAGGAGTGCAAGCCACTTCCAAGCTTTAGAAGCTGTGGAAATGTTTCCTAATACCATTCAAACGCAATGCCAAATAACATTCATCTGCAACAACAGCATAAAAACTTCAGACCCCCGTGGTACGCTACAGAGAGGACCACTACTGTTCATAGGTACAGTGGTTCCCTTTGTAGTGGTCTAATATTGAGTCACAGTTAGAGCTGTGTATCCAGCAAAGCTTGCACTCTCCACTGATTGCATAGCTCTAGCTGTGACTTGACTAGGGGTGTATAGGACTGCAGCAGAGAGAGGACCACTGCTATGACTTTGAAAGCAGTGATCCTATGTAGCATGTCGCTGGGGTCTGCAGCTTTTATGCTGCTGTTGCAGTTGAAATTATTGTCAAAGGACTTGAGGAAAGATTTAGATCTCATTCACACCATACGTGCAGGAAAACTGATGGAAACTGACTTGCAGATTTCACTTGCAAAGACATCAGTTTTTATGCTTGCTGCAATGAGTTTTATACACGTTGCAGAGATTCCCGCACAGAAAAAATCTGCATGTTTTATACTACTGTTGTGGTGTGAACAGGGCACATAGAGAACAATTGATTTTGTTGTGCCCTTGCAAAATGCATGCAGAAAAAAAACTGACATCTCTGCACCATGGTGTGAACGAGCCCTTATACTCTTTCCACTTACTTGAAACCTGACAGAGGGACACTATTAAATGACTTACAGTTACCTGCCAAGGAAAGTGACCCTGTACTCGTACATTGACTTAAGCCATGTTTACTTGCATGATTTTTGCACAGTACTACAAGCCCTGGAAATCCTTGACCTCCCATAACAGTCCTGCTGATATTGGATAAATAAAGAATATTAGAAGGACTTATTTTTCTTATAAAAAAAATTCAGCTCCAGCTCTGGCCACCAATCTGGGCTCTGCTTATCCCCTTCAACTGACATAAAGTGAAAGGTTCTGATTTCCTTCATGAAAGTGTTAGCATACCTTTATGTTGCTTTAGCTTCCACATAATTGCAAGTGTTTGAGGTTTGTACCTCTGTTAGATTTCCAAAAACTGATTAGTTGTTTGGGGAAGTGCTGCCATATTTACTCAGAGAACTGAATAGGTACACATGGCAACAGTTTCCCGTACACCCAGCTAGTCTTGATATAGGTCATAAAGTAGAACTATAGGCAAAGGTTTTTTATACCCATTTTGGATAAAGTAAGGGAGGGTTATAACCTCTGTCATTTTATTTTTTGGCATCTGTGTCCCACTAGGGAGATTTACTTTCACTTCCTGTCCCATAGACAAAAGAGGAAGTGAGGGAATTCCCTGCAAATTAAGGGAAATTCTTGGGGACCTAGAGTTCCCATTGGAAAATTTCCGCCGTATTACTTTTCTGGGGAAATACAAAATTTGGGGTTTTCTTTTGCTTTCTCTCTCAATGGTAATAGTAAACAGGAGAAATAGAGAGAGTGAATCTCCCTAACGGCACAGACCGCAATGAAAAAAAGGTGTTCTAGTCTGTCTCCACCTGATGGAGACTTATTAATAGGTCTTTTACAGCTCTTTTAATGTGGTTTCCCTTTACACCTTACATTACTATTATTAAGACCTGGTTTGTGCTTTATCATGACTGCTTTTACAGCTCTGTGATCAAGCATTCATAGGCTGAGTGGATCAGAGTATTTTATAGTCCAGTGTTTCTCAACCTTTTTTTCCCAGTCAAGGCACCCTTTAAAATTATGGACAGTCCCGAGGAACCGTTTATAATTATGGATGGTCCTGAGGCACCCCATTCTAAAATGAGGTGCCTCAAGACTGTCCATGATTTTAAAAGGGTACCCGATTTTAAAATGTGAAAAACTATTCTAATAGTTTTATATAACGCAGCAACATCCACACATGTAGGACACCCAACATTAGAGGTGATTTATTCTTCCAAAGCAAATACACTTGCACACGGGTACTGACTGATATACCAATGTTTCTCCTCTCCCTCAGTTTTTCTCCATCACTGAGCTAATGTGACCCCAGCACTGATGGAGAGGGACAGGGGAGGGTCAAACTAGGATACTGTGCCGGCAGCTGACATCCTCCTCATCAACTGATGATGTCATTGGTTGTCAGGACGCCGGTGACTAGAAGGTCATACTGGTGCACAATGAAAACCTGTGGCTTTGTGTAACTGAAAGGCCGGCTTGTTCTACCCGCTGGCCTGTGTACAAGTTTTGGCCAATTTTTAGACTTTTTCCAAGGCACCCCAAGGTTATAGCTATAGTCTATGTTGTATGTGCTACGTTCATCAGCAGAATTTGGATACTTGCTTCATATTCTAAGCCACCAGTCACACTGCTGCAATTTAAAATTACTTTATCTTGACTTGTGAAGATTTTCAATGATTTTTTGCAATTTCCATTATATTCTATGTATGAGAAATCGCAATAAACTGCAGAAAAAGTAAAGCAAGAATTACATTAGAAATTGCGTGCAGCAAATCGCACACGTTAAGACACTGACATTCACATTCATTAGATGCAATTTCAGGTGCGATTTAAATTTGCAAATCGCACCAGTATGACCGGCAACTAAATCTGCAAACGATAAAACTCCTCCTTTCAGCTGTCTGCAGTTCTATTATTACATGTACTCCCATTCAACAACACTTTCCCTAATGCAGGCCATAGATGGGGAGAAAAACGGCAGATTTTCGGCCGATTAACGAACTATCGGTCGGTCTAAAAAACTTACCTGACCACCAATTATTACGAAAATCGGCCGATTAATGAGTAACCTATAACGGGAAATGATGTCATTTTGTGGCCTTTGTGATCCTTTTTCGGAAAACGATCGTTCGTTTTTGACCATCAATGAGGATAAAGTCGGGCGTTTTTCGAAAATTTTCCAACATCACCGATAATCTGAAAGTCCAAAATACACGAAAAACGGCCGACAAAATCGTCCACTAACGATAAGATAATCGGCCGGTTTTATTTTCGGACGAAAAATCGGCCGTTTTTCTCCCCATCTATGGCCTGCATAAGTCAAGTAGATACTGTATATCTGTATGTTGGTTCTAAAAGACAAAAACCTCAGGATTAGAGATGTATAACTAGGACCTTGTGTATTCTCTATATCTCTCAGTTGATCCGCAGCAGTGCTGAAGCTGGATATTGCACAGAGATCCAGGATCTTCAGACACTGGGGGCTTGTGAGGGCGAATATGACCAGCAGTATGAGACGCTCTTCCCTCTTGGAAAAGGCGCTTTTGGCTTTGTATGGTCCGCTAAACACAGGGATGATGCAAAGGAGGTCAGTTCTTGCATGTAGATTTTTCTTATTGATGTTTTGCAGTGAGTTGTCTTTTCTTTGTAAAAGCATTTCAGAAAGAAAATTGAGTGCATTTCATATTATTGTTATAAAAGTAGAAAAAGTGCTTACAAGGATAATTGCCCATGGTCAAGGTATTCAAATATGTAATAGGTTACAATTAGTATCTATGAAATTTAATGACATTCATGCTAGAAGCAAAGCTGGTTCATCCACACGCAAACTAGGCAGGATTCTAAGGCCCAGGGGATGTCCCATCCACAACTTTTATGTTCCTTAGCAAACCCGGGGCATGGTGTAATTGGTCAAATTTGTGCACCTGCTTGTCCCTTCGCAAGGTAGGATTATTATTATACAGGATTTATATAGCGCCAACAATTTGCTCAGCGCTTTACAATATAAAGGGAGACAATACAGCAGTGATACAGTGCAATACAAAAGTGTTAGGAGGGCCCTGCTCCTTGGAGCTTACAATCTAAGAGGGAGGGGCTGGTGGTACAAAAGGTAATAACTGTGGGGGATGGACTGGTAGGAGAAGTAGAAGATTCCGTTATTAGCTGAAGGCGGGATAGGCATCCCTGAAGAGAGAGGTTTTCAGAGATCGCCTAAAAGTGAGCATAGTAGGTGATATTCGGATAGATTGGGGTAAAGAGTTCCAGAGGATGGAGGAGGCTCTGGCGAAGTACTGGAGACAAGCATGGGAGGAGGAAACGAGGGAGCTTTAGAGCAGGAGGTCGTGGGAAAAAAGACGGTTTGGGTGTTATTTGGAGACCAGATTGGTGATGTAATTTGGGGCAGAGTTATAAATTACTTTATATGCTATTGTTAATGTTTTGAATTTTATCCGTTGGGCAATGGGAAGCCAGTGGAGGGCAGCAGTATTCATGATAGATTGAAAAGGGGATAGCCTGCGATTAGGTAGCCCAATGAGGAGGGAGTTACAATAGTCAAGGAGAGAGATAACAGAGGATATCTTTGTAACCAGTTGGTGTCTGATAGGTAAGGGTCATGCCAGAACAGACAATGCAAATAGAACAATCCTTTTCAATGCCAATAAAAAGTATTTGGGAGCCAAAGGTGCTGCTTAGCCTAGGGCCTCATTCTACCTCAGTCTGTCTCTGACTGTAGGAAACTGTAGCACGTATAAGTAATAGAAAGTAAACATTTAATCATGCATAGTAATGTTTTTTTTTATAAACCTTTTAAAAACAGGTTGTAGTAAAATTTATTCGCAAAGATCGAGTGCTTGATGACTGTTGGGTGCAGGATGCTGAACTCGGGAGGGTAACACAGGAGATCTCTATTCTGTCCAGGTTACAGCACCCCAATATTATCAAGGTAAGTATACTGTTTATAAATAAGCTTTCATTCTATTTTTGGAGTATTTAGAGTATTAGTAATAGGGGTATGGTCACTCTGTGAATTACATTTAGTTTCTGTTTTAAGGTCATGTATATAAATATCATCATACAAAGTTGTAAAAATATGGTTTTAGCATAACTGTGATGACAGATTTATTACGCAATAATTTTCTATAGCAAGTGTCTTAGTAGTAGAAACAGTTTACACTGATACAGTGTAGAATATTCATCCTTATTCCTAAATATAACCTTTTCTGTGTTGCTTTCTAGGTTCTGGGGGTGTTTGAGAATGACACATTTCTTTCAGCTAGTGATGGAGCTACATGGAGATGCTCTTGATCTCTTTGACTTTATTGACAATCAACCAAATTTAGATGAACCACTTGCCAGCTACATTTTTCGACAGGTGAGATCACTTACAATTTGTGTTTTTATAAGCGACACAAATGATTAGAAATGAATGTATATGCAGTTGCCATTATAACCTACAGTTTTCGTGTTCGAACTTGGGAGATAATGAGCACCCAGAAAAATTCTAGGCATATCAAGTTAGTGTATGCTTGTGCCAACAAAACAAAACAAATGCAACACAACTCTAACCATCCACATTTCTATATGTTTATACCTTCGTACATCTCTGTTACACATGCACATTTCTCTATGTTTATACCTTTTATAAACATACAAACAGGTTTTCTTCTAAAAACCTTGCAAGTACATTAAAATACCTGTTGATTTTCTGGAGATCTAGTTTGCTCCTAAATTCCTGTAACAAAGTGAAAACACATCCTTTGCTGTATTGAAATGCCAAGCAGTATTGTCAGCCTTTTCCAATTCACTTCTGGAAACTACAGAACATCTTCCCTTATGCTTTTAAGAGGGGGAGGAGTTCTGAAGTCAAGTCAGGATCCAGAAGCCAAGGGTAACAAAGCTGCTGCTCTGTAGATGCAGTACAATGATTGTGTATTGTAACCGTGAGGCAGAGAGAGTGTGTTACTAGCAGGATTACAAGATAATAAAATCCTGAAAAAAATGTTTCTTTTGCAATATCCTATGGAGCCACCTTTACATACAGGGACTAGAGTTGCGTTTCCCTACATTGTGTGCATCAATGGAAACACACTGCCCTGTAGTCTAGGGTGGCAAGGTACTCCTTGCTCCAGCCTCCTGTCCCTCCCTCTCCAAACTAACAGACTGGCTGGAATCCACATGTTAACTCTGCAAGTTCTTGGGTAAACATTTTATGTGTGTTGTATGTGTGTATATGTATTGTTGTGTGTGTGTGTGTGTATGTATTATATATGTATATATATATATATATATATATATAATATATATATATATGTGTGTGTGTGTTGTGTGTTGTGTGTGTGTTGTGGTGTGTGTGTATGTGTGTATATTATATATATATATATATATGTGTGTGTGTGGTGTGTGTGTTTATATATATATACAGTCATGGCCGAAATTTTGATTTTTGGTGTTTATTGCTTTTAAGTATATGGTTGCAAACACATGTTTTTATACCTGAACATTTTAGTATGTTTGGAAAACATTGAAATCAGTCGCGTCCTATAACCATCATAAGCTTTTTTTTTTTTTTTTGCAGGGATTTTTTTCATGTCCTCATTTTAAAACTGGGACAATTTATTAGACATTTTTTTTTTTTATATGTTTATTTTAACAGCTATTACATAAGCACTTTTAAAACATGAAGGTCCATACCTTCCTTTTCCATAAACACGGATAGTTCTGGGGATAACAAAACAAACAGGTGAACAAAGGAGATATTTGTGACTTGAATTTTTTATTTTTTTTAGACTCTCAGCGATTCACTCACCTTTCTTTTTTTAATTTTCATGTTTTCATATATCACTTCCTGCCTCCAGGGATGGAAGACCCAGGATCTTTTTGCCAATACTTTTGTCCAGGCCCATTTTTTTTTTTTGACACGGGCCCTACTTTTTGACCCAAAATACTTTGTTAATCAATACGTCGCACTGCTTGCCATTTTCAAGGAGTTTTTTAATCAAAACAACTGGAAAACATTTTTTTACACATGTTTTGTATGTTAAAACAGAGGCAGAAAAGCAAATATGGTTGTACTGAACATTTTTGTTCTTTGTAATTGGATTTTTTTTAATTTTAATGGACATTAGCAATTGATGTGCTTTCAATGCCGATTTTTGGGCTCATGCTTATCTTGGTTTTTTCTGAGTGTTTTTATGTTTTTTCTATTTTTTTAGTGCTTTTGGTAATCTCAGATTCATGATTTCAAGGCACCCAGTTCATTTTTTTTTTCGTTATCTTTACTGTGTTTTTTGTAGTGGGCTTTTGGCTCGTAAAACTGGGTACATGATTTCCTGTTATTTAGAATTTCAAATGTCGACGGATTTTCGCAGCTACACTGATGCTGAGCCTGCAGGACATTTGATTGTTTTGGAACTGTTTGGGGTCTGCTTATCAATCCGGACTCCCTGCGTTGCATATCTTTCATCAATTTTCCTGCACTCCACGACCAGGGAGATTAGAATGGGTTATAATGAACATTATGTTGCGCTTTGGACAAAGGCAAATTAGTTTGTCTTGGAATGGACTTTTATTGATTTTATTGTTGATATTTTGCCACAATTTTGGTTTACTAGGTCATATCATTCTCGTTCCTTTTATGTTGCCATTATTTAGTTTGGCACAGACAGACACACAATTTAAGTGATTCTTTCTCCTTTTTATCTGTTTCAGGTGATTTTATATTGCTACACTGTTTACCTTGCCCCAGGTGGCGTTTCAAGCGCTCACTAAGCTTGTAACATTTTATTTATCCGCAGTTGTGAAAGGGTGCCAATACTTTTGTCCAGCCCCATTTTTGGAGGTTTGTGTGACATTATGCGAATTTTTTTTTCTTTCCTCCCTTTTTTTGTTTTGTCCCAATACACACTCAGTGTATAGCAAAACATGTGTTAATGCAATACGTTTCGTGAGAGGCTCCTGACCATATTGTCAGGATCTACGCAAGGTGGCTCCAGCTCTTAGTGTGCAGCTGAGCTGAAGTCAGCTGTGCTCGCTCCCTCTCCAGCCTGATGCTCTAGTTCTGCTGTTAGCCCCTTCCCAATTCTTGGATTCCAGTCTGCCATGTTACCACAACAGATCTCTATGAAACCCTTGTAGATCTCCTATTAAAGGAGTTACCAGCTTTTATGGCAGAAAGATTTCCGGGGTTCTACTCTAAACTTTTCACAGTCCACCAAAACAAAGTGGGGCATCTACCCCATCTTTGACCTCAAGGCCTTGAATGTCTTCATTCAGACCCAAAAATTCTGCATGAAATCCACTAATTCCATTATAGCCTTCTTACATCAGGGAGACTTTCAGTCCTCTGTAGACATAAAGGATGCTTACTTGCATATCTCCATTTTTTTTCTGCGGATCATTCCTTCATTTTGCTGTAGGACCCAAGAATTTCCAGTTTTTAGCCCTGATATTCAGCCTGTTTTTCACACCCTGAGTCTTTACCAAGGTTTTGGCCCTGTGCTTGCCTTGTTACGCTCTCAGGGCCTCCCCGTTGTGGAATACCTGAACAACCTCCTGAAAAGGTTTAGTTCTATTAAATCCTGAAAAGATTCAGTTAGATCCAGAAGCTTCGGAAATCTGTGCTGGAACTGCTTGGATTATCTGAGTCTTATTCTAGATACATCCAAAGTCAGGGTTTTTCTTCCACAAGAAAAACTTCAAACTCTGTGTTCCCAGACTCAGGTTCTTCAGTCCAGGAATTGCCTAACACTTTGAGTCTGCATGAGGATTCTGGGGTTGATAGCAGCCTCCTTCAAGGCAGTCCTGTTTCCCTAATACCACTCGAGAGCCCTGAATGCCAACATCCTATCATCGTGTAATAAATAATTTCTGTCTCTAGAAAAAAACGATTTGCTTGACTCTGAGAACCAGGTTGTTCCTGGGCTGGTGGCTCAGGAATCCAGTTCTGGAATTGGAGAAATCCTTCCCTCCAATCTCTAAAGATTCCCACAACAAATAACAAGCTGGGGAGGAATCCTAAACACCTTGTTGGTGCACAGGACTTGGATGTCAGAGGAATACCATCTAAACGATCGACATTCTGGAGCACCAAGCAATTTGCATGTACCTACAATGCTGGACATTGCTGGAGGGTCACCTGATCAGGGTCCAGTTGGAAAATGCCACAGCAGTTGTCTATGTCAACCAATATAGAGGAACCAGAAGTCTTGCAGGAACAAAAGAGGTTGAAAGGATTCTGTATTGGGCAGAACTTCATGCTCCAGTTTTTTATCAGCTGGGCTTCCTTAGCCATCAGCACCTGCATCTGTGAGATTGGTCCTTACACCCAGAAATGTTCCAGAACCTGGGTCATAGGTGGGGGACACCAGATGAGGACCTCCTGGCTGGATAGATTTGCCTCCAGGTATTGAGATCCCCTGGCAGAAGCGGTTGATATTCTGAGACAAATGCCTTGTCTTCTCTGCAAAGTCAAGAGGCGGGGGGAGGTGTTCTGGTCATACTTATAGCTCTGAACTCGCATAGGGGATTGTGGTACTCTAACCAGAGTGGTAACACTCCAGATCATCAGGATCCTTTATCCCAAGAGCCAGTTTACCATCCTGTTTCACAGCATGGCAGTTGCAGCCTGGATCTTAATGGTAGCTCTACTTTAGTGGGGAAAAAAATAGCATATGAGAAAAAGAAAATAATATAGGATGTACTGTACAATTGCTATTGCATATTATAAATAAATGTTATCCAAAAGTACTTTTCCTTTTCAAAATGCAACTCTGTAATTTTCTGTAAAATTCAATGCAATATGGCAACTTGGAGGCCTTCTGTACACAGTTCAAGTAAACCGCTTATCTTTTAGGGTAAATGCCCTGTATACAGCAAATTTGGGCAGCACAGTGGCTAAATGGTTAGCACTTCTGCCTGGCAATACTAGGGTCATTGGTTCGAATCCCAACCACAGCACCACCTGCCTGGAGTTTGCATGTTCTCCCTGTGCCTGCGTGGGTTTCCTCTGGGGACTCCGGTTTCCTCCCACACTCCAAAGACATGCTGGTAGGTTAATTGGATCCTGTCTAAATTGGCCCTAGTATGTGTATGTATGAATGTGAGTTAGGGACCTTAGATTGTACGCCCCTTGAGGGTTAGGGACTGATGTGAATGTACAATATATATATGTAAAGCGCTGCGTAAATTGACGGTGTTATATAAGTACCTGAAATAAATAAGAAAAGTTGTTCCTGTTCTATTAAATAACTCTCCTCTAGTATATAAATACAGATCCATGCTTTATTTTTTACTTTTTTCTTCTAATCTTTTCCTCCCTTCATCTCTCTTGTTGATTTGGTGTTTTGTCGTTTTTGTAGATTCTATAAGATCAATGTTTTTGCATGTTCTGGTGAAAGTTTTCTTCAGCAGGTGTAGTAGATGTGACTTTGAGCTTGACATAGCTGCTTCCTGTCATCTCCCTATTTTGCACACTTTTTTTTTTTTTGTTTGACTGCAGTTATGCTGTGTCCCCAATGAACAATAATACAAAATTGTTCTTTATGTAAACTGTAATATCCTAATCTGATGAGTAATTGGGGAACACAGATACCTTCTCTGCTTCACTATATGTTTTTCTCTTGTTCAAATGCCTTTTCTATTCCCATTCTATTAGTGGATGTCTTGCTGTGTTGGCACATGCAGTTTAAAAGGATAGGCTTCTCTTTGGTTTGCATCTCCTATTTCTCATTTATAGAGTGCATCTCAGTGATGTTTCAGTATAGCCCATAAGGGAGTGGAGAATTTTTCCTTAGTGTCACACCTACTATAGGTAGGGTATTCACCCAAGAATTTGCTCAGGAGCCCCATAAAAGTTAAAAAGGAAAAGTATTTTATAGTGACTTAGAAATAAAATCATCTTTTTCTGTCTAATTACAGTTGGTATCAGCAGTGGGGTATCTACACAGCCACTATATTTTGCATCGTGACATAAAAGATGAGAACATTATCATTGCCCCTGACTTTACTATAAAACTGGTTGACTTTGGCTCTGCAGCTCGTTTACAGCCTGGAAAGTTGTTTTCTACCTTTTGTGGTACCACTGAATACTGTGCACCAGAGGTGCTGCTTGGCAATCCGTGAGTTGTTTTTTTTTTTTTTATACATATTACCTGTGTGCTGGCAAAATAAGTCCTTTGTAATGTCCAGAGAGTCCATAGTTGCCTTGTAAAGCTTCTCTAGTGAACAGCATTAAAGACAATAAAGCCGGCCATAGTTCAGCAGGGACCAGCCAAGATTCGAACCATGTATGGGTAGGCTGAATGTTCCCAAGTGATCGATCTGTCAACATGGGTACAACCAGTCTGAAGTAAGACTACAAGTCTGCTAAATGCATTCTAATCATCTTTTTCGGGTAACAAATATAGGAATCTGAAATAAGTGAAATCCAATAGAAAGAGAAGAGCCACTACACACAACAGTAATTTTATAACACTGCCTGGACATAGTATGTGGAAGAGACACAGGAAATGGTAGTTTGGTTTTTACCAGTAATGATGAAAGGGAAGTTATTACTAATTATTCCTTTTTTTACACCTTGTATAAGTAATATCTGAGTGGCTTATTTCAGTTACAGTATGTTGCAGATAATACTTGTTCAAGCACTGTTTTACTGACTAAGCCCATTAGGTGCAATGGAAAAGATAATTTCTATGTACATGCAGAACTGTGTTCCTGCTGTGGCAGTGGAACTCAGCTCTAAATACAGGTAGACTTGCAGTTGATTATTCGCCCATTGGCCAGCATTATAATTAAAACAATTTACACCATGTCAGTATTTAAATATACTATTTGACATATGACTCAGTATTTCAGAAATATTTAAATAAGATAACGAAAGCTTTATTGAACATTTGTTCCTGATTGTCAGCCAGGGTCCCTACATAACAGACATTATAATAGGCAGCATGAAAAGCGAGGACAGAATGAAAAGAAATCCTAGAGGAACACAATTTGCATTCTGTAGGTCAGTCCAGCTAGATACAGGATTACTGGGCACATGTCTTTTGCAGAACAAAGGCTTCTTATAACAAGGCTTTGTTATGCTGGTTACTAATGATGTAATGCCTTGTGAAAAGGCAGTGGAACAGAATATTCGAGAAACTGTGTTCTTTTCAAATAACTCATTATAGGAACATACTGTAACTATAATTTGGTTAGGATGGTTTTTAGTCCTAGAAGTAAGAACTATATAACTTTGTTTTTGAGGCACTATGCTATGCGTGTCATTTTTAAAGATATATACATTTTTTTTTTCCATCGTTTAAGGTATCCTGGTCCAGAGCTGGAAATGTGGTCTCTAGGTGTAACGCTCTATACCCTCATTTTTGGAGAGAATCCTTTCTGTGAAGTAGAAGAGATTTTAGAGGCTGAATTGAACCCTCCATTTACTGTATCCCAAGGTGAGGATGATCCTTTATCACAATTGCTAATCTAGTAGTTGATGCTGTGGTAGACAGGCATTCAGTCTTCTTTCATCGCCTTAGCCATTCTAAAACTGGTGGGGTGGCATTCTGCAAACAGAATCCTAATCGGGGAAATTCATTTATGGAAAATTTGGTGCTTTTTTAATGTCTTTTTAGATGGTCGATTTTAGGAGACTCCCCCTTGACATAGATATACTGATGCTGATCTGATTCTGAGATACGTATGTAAAAGAAGCAACCCAGAAAAGATACTCTTGCATTCACCTTATTGTAAATTAATCTTTCTATATGTAAAGGCTAAACCTTATTTCCTTCAGAGGCAAACAGTGCCGGCTTGTCCTTTGCAATAGCCTTGCAAATAACACTGCACCAAGCTTACTATACTATTACAGTTTGGGGCTGCTGACAGAACCCGATTTGGAGTTCAGGCTGTCACTTTAAACATGCTACTAGCAGGCTCTTAGAAAGATTCAGCCTACTTGAACCTTGCTGAAATCCCCTGTCAGCTTGTGTAAAGTGACGGACAGGACCACCCATTAGGATCTGTGTTTAACCTTTCGAAACCCTGCAGGTGAAGGGTGCTGTGAAGCCTCCAGAAACCTGTTTAAAGCCAGTCGGTGCTTTGTAAATGCTTGCTGTACACACGTTTGTGTAGCAGGGAGAAGTCTCTATGCACAAGGCTTTAAATTGGTTGCAAAGGCAAGACCTTTTTTACCTTATTGCATTCCCTGCATTAAGGTAAAACATTTCCCAGTATTTGTATATTCAGCTCGGGAGCAAACCTGCATGTGCATCCACATAGTAAGCAGCTTGCTATTGTGGTGCACACAGAAGAAGAGGAACCAGGAGCCCTGGCAGGGGACCCCAGAATAGGAGGTTCAGGGCTGTGTACAATATCGTTGTACAAAGCAGGGAAGTATAACATGATTGGCATTTTAAAAAAAAATATTTTAGCCTTTACATCTGCTTTAAGAGGAGGACTCAACAGCCAGTAAAAAAATACTAGTGTTCTTAAAGCTGTTTTACACTGCTCGTAGGTTGATATTGTTTTATTAATTCCTTGTTATTGTTAATGTTAACTGTTGGATTTTCTACTTCTAGAATTGCAAGACCTGATTTCTGGTCTTCTTCATCGTGATCCTGAGATGCGCATGACTCTTGATGAGCTTCTCAGAGACCTGTGGGTGACACAGCCTGTAAACCTTGCTGAATATACCTGGGAGGAGGTGTATCCTCCTGCTAGCTCCCAGAAAGGTAAGAAGCGAATTATATTACTGGTATTTACATATATATGACTCAAACATAACATTGATTAAGATCCATCTGATTCTAATTATTCTGTTAAACCAGAATAAGGAACATGAAATCCCTAGTGAGTCAGTTCCCAGCTTCTCCTCACATTAGGGGAAAAAAAATTCTTGTTGACTCTTGGGAACACATAAACAGGAATGGCATCAGATGGTGAGATGTTGTATTCCCTAGCCACAGATGACCTCTACGCTTTTTGTCTGAGGGGCTTGAAGCCTGCTTGTGTACATACTTCTTTTCTGCCCTGCTGTCACTGACCCTCCATATCTAGTCAACATCAGCTTCCCACTGAATTTGAAATACAGACAGGGCCCAGCCTTTACCAACCTTTCTTTTAAATCATTTGGACTCTCATATGCATGTCTTTATCTGCATACCATTTTATTTTGATGTGCATTGTATATTCCTTGGTTGTGTTTAGCATGGCAATTTATCAATTATTTGTATGCTTCTAATTGTTTTGCCAGCTGCTTGTGTTTTTTTTTGGTTTATACCTGCGTGATTTCTATTGGTAGTACATATTATGAGTAAGTCTCCTACCTGCCAAATCTTACCGTTTCTGACCCTTGACTTATATCTGGGTTTGGCCTCCTTCTTGTTCAGTTTTTGGTACTATCTGCACTGTTATGTTACTGTCCCTTGTCTGCTGAATTGACAAAATTTTCTCCTTAAAGATGTCAAGTGGGCAAAATTTATTTTTTGGAACTAGCACATTGCGAGCAATTTCTGTAGGACAATAGTATTTCTTAAAGAGGTTTTCCAATTCCAGACACAAAATATTTCACATTCTTATGCCCCCTGGATGCTGTTCAGCTGAGATCTTCCCAATCAGCTGTGTCTGCAATGCCCATGCTATGACTGTTAAAGGCGTTCATCTTTCTTCATTGTAACACAGGCTGAATTTTTGTGACTAGGCTGTATGCATAGCTTCAGTGGAACCACAATTCATTTCCTAGGCTTAGCTGCACCGCAGCATTCTGGGTGGTGCTAATGTCAGAATGCCTTGGTAGCACTGTTACTAACTAATTAGCAGGGTTTTAGTATGTAAAAATGTAGGCTGACCAGCAGTGGCATGGACAAGTGCATGTAATAAAAAAACAAATTTCCCAATTTGTGCCTGAAAATACCAAAACCTCTTTTAAAGTTTTTTTTTTATCCACACTTTCTTGCTTAAAACTGTTTCTGTGTAGTTTTAAATTTAAAATCAAACATGATTTAAAAGAGATAGCAAGATGTTTGCTAAATAGATTCTTTATTTGCTTCCAGTTGCTCCCCTGTTCACCTACTGAAGCCCCTTCCCTCCAAAAGAGGGTTGGCTCTGGATCTGAGCTTACACAGCACTAAGGATGCTTCCCCCACCCTCACTTGACAACTTCTTATGACTGGCCACTCAGGGTGCCACTCATGCTGAAGGCAAAAGATAGGAGCATTTGGGTAGGGAGAAGCAGGGAGTGGGAGAAGCACTTAGGTAGGGAGAAGCACATTTTTCTCTATTTTTTGCTCTGGGTTGGACTGGTGAACAGCATAGCAGATATATGATTAGAAGGTGAGTACAGAGCTGTGCCTGCTATCCAGCATACCTGTTACCTTGTATACTGCAGGTGCTCAGAAGTAGACCTCAACCTCTCCAAGGTTGCTTTTCTTTTAAAGAGGTTGCTCATAGATATTACAACTTTGTACTTTGGGGTTTGAACCTTAAATGGTAGTCCAGAGGCTTCTTGGAACATTAAGAATGGCATGCATACTGGGTAGCCTACCCTTGACATGTCCATTTGAGTGATGTGAATTATGGGAACAGTAATCATATACCATGGGAAATGCTTTCAAGGGTAGTAACAGAAACCAAAATGGGTCCATAAAATAAAGCCACTTGATTGTAATGCTAGAAAATCTAATCTGTTCACTATTGTTACCCCCTAACATAAACTACACTGGAAGTGTCTGGCAGCTTTTCCTGTATCTGTACTGACTGTTTATGCAAGTGATTATACTTTTTTTTTTTTTTTTTTTTTTTTTTTTTAAGAGCTCTCTGATTAAATTTCAGCCTTTAAAGACTACAGATCCCTTACTGCAGATGATATTTGAGACATGAGAATTTTCTATCAAACGATAATAAATTCAGGCCTATTTGTTATGACTTTGTTTACAGATGAAGGATTTGAACAGTTTCCGGTCAGTTACAGCACTGAATGGAATGGAGATTTGGGGAATCGAAAAGACTGATGAAGATAGCTCCAGGAGATACATTTGATATCCAGAGAGATATCCAGAAGAATTTTAGACTGTGGATTGCATTACTTTTAAAACACTCTAAACACAAATATACTCCGATTTCACTGGAACACATATAGCAAACAAGCTATAAGAGAAGCTATTGCTTGAAGCTCCTGAGGTCAGGTCACTAAATCACATACCACTTTATTACCAAATAGCCTCAAACTGAACAACTGGTGCTTCATAATTTCAAGTTCACAGCAACTGGTCATTGAAGAAATATTTATGGGTAAAACAGAATCCTCTGTGTTCATCCAGTGCAAAATATCATTACAGTGACATGCACAAAGGCTGTGACTACACTGGAATCCAGCCTCCTTTTACAGGTGCCATACAGGTTTTGTGCCAAAACAATATAAGCTGACGGCTCCAGTGTTGACCAGAGGCAGTAGGTGCTGTCTTCTGTATGGAATAAATAGTAATGTAACTTGCAGAATTTAAAGCAGCAGATATTCAGTTTTAATCTCTGCTGCTTTTTTTTTCTTTTTTTTTGAGAGACTGATGATCATTTCCCTTTATAAATAAGATGGGGAAACTTGTATAGGTGCACTTACCATAGTATGATGGATGCAGTACCCAACTTAATCACATTCAGTTTTACATAAGCATTCACCATGGTACATTCCTACCTGTGAACTATGTTGTAAATGCCTGTTAATAACAAAAATCTGCTAGTGCCAACCGAGATATAAAATAATAATGGCCTTTGTGTGTTAGACTGAGAATTCCATTCTGTGCTCATGACGATGCACAAGCACAGGATGGCATTGCTGGGTAAGAACAGTCATTATTTTGAATATTTGGTTTAAGGGATCAGTTAATGTGCATATAAGCAGCCCTTCCAACTTGAGAATTATATCATAAATTGGTTCTATTGAGAGAAGATCTAAACCGCTCAGGAAAAAAAATGATCCATGTTGGAAGCAACCTCATGCAGTTCTTTTAGCAGGTGATATGCACTCAGTAATATTGTTTCTGGTCCTTTTAATTCCTTGTGATGCATTAACATGCATTATGTTGCACACTAACATGCGTTGCGTTAAGGCAGCCTATTGAAAGAAATGGGCTGCCAACACATCCTGTTATGCCGAAAATCAGACATACATTTTTTTTTTGCAATGCACAATGAGTTGCAGCACTCTGCTAGACAGGTTTGTTGTATTAGTGTATTGGGGTGTCATTCAAAAGAAATGGCACCATAGTGCATGCTACCTGCGTTAATGTGCATCACGGTAATACCGGCTGTACCACATCACAGACATCTAAGTGGGCCCTAAAGAATCACTAAAAGGAACAAACATTACCTCTAATAAAGAACACACTGTTTTGTTGGCTGTCATGCCATTCCAATGACTTTAGTACCTTCTAATCTGGATACTTGTTCCATGTCTGTGATTCAGAAGTTCTGACTATACTTGCTATAGGCTTGTTGCAATCAGAGAAATTCAGGCAACTAGCATTTTCAGATGATCATCAGCAATGACAGCCTACACATTTCTCCCAGTACAGGTTGCCTTTAAAATCCATTGAAAGTATGCATGTTGAAGTTTACATACCATGCTAGAATGTGGAATACTTCAACTGCATTAATATCTGCTGTGCAGCTGAGTACAAGGTGTTTTTATGTTATGGTGACCAAACATGCTTCGATAAATGATTGATTGCTTTTCTGATCAATCTCTTCTGGTAGGAATAATCAGTCTATAATTGACAACCCATTTGATCGATATGCCACACAAGGGGAAGTGGATCTTAACTGATATACGATTGTAAGTTATTGACCACATCTCTGTTTCCAACTTGTAGTCTCATAATCTGTTCGACTGAAAAATGGGTACATTCATTAACAGCTGCAGATTGATGCAAAACCATTGATAATATTCCACCCTGGCCGATCAAATAAACAGTCTAAAACAATTGGAAGGGAAGATATGGCTATTTGATTGTTTGTGGACTGGACCACTTTGAACAAATCGCACATTGATCCGGTGAAAATATCAAAACAGGTGTGGCCACCATTACTCCTGTCTGGCTGAGGAGAACATGGCTAGTGTTTCCCTTAGAACAAAGGTGAGTTGTGCATATTGTGCCATGGATTTCAATGCATAACTGAACTTTAATGTTTCTTTGCAGTCACTGCACATACATAAACCTGTGTTGCATTTAGACAGCTCACTCATTTGAGTTGAAAGTGCAGAGCAGTGCAGTCTCTGCAGCATTTGTTTTAATGCAGTGCACCACAACAAACCACATGTATGTCATGGTGTGATGCAGTGCGTGTGTGAGCACTGATTGCAGGTGTGCATTGGACTGTAATTCTTAATAAATGACACAGCAGTACACCCACAGTGCACCGTGCCTTGTGGTAACATGCATATTACCATGGATTATGTGAAATGCATACATGGAAATCCAGTATTCAATCCTGAGTAGAAAAGCCTGTCCCTTGCCATTTGGTTCAGGAAAATCTTACACAGCCCCTGCTGAGTCAGAGCCAGAGCTCTCAGATTAGCAAAGGTTAAAGTATTACTAAACCTAGGACCCTGCATTCACTATATCTGGTGTTCCACAGTACACAGAATGTGGAAGTGCAATTATTTTAGTAAATATAAACTGCTAAATACCTTTTCTCATCAGCAGTTAAGGCAGCCTTGTGACTTCTGTCAGTGTCCGGCCAAGCACATGTTAAAGCTTATAGGAGTTTTTATTCTGCTGTAGGAGGATGCAGGACCCCTAACCTCTGTCTGGACAGTGTTGATTGGCCCTGTGCTGATCACATGCACTCTCCCAAGAAAATAAAACCCTCTCTAGCAATACACACCAAACTGAGCATGCGCAGAGTGACTCTTCACGATATGTCTGATCAGGAGATAAGAGGGGGGCACTGGAAGAAGGGGAGGATCAGAGAAGACAGGATCAAACCGCATTCCTACACAATGCAGACGATTAACCCCTTGGGTTCCACAGTGAGAATAACAAGCATGCTTTACTGCATATACAGACTGATTTTACTGGGTTTAGTAACACTTTAAGCTCCCTGCTTACTGAAGAACTCTAGCCCTGACAGCAGGGACCGGGCACTTTTCTAATTGCAGAGCTATATGTTTGACTCAGCAGGGAGTCTGCAGAGAGACCACTGCTTCTACACAAAGAAAAAGTGTCCTTTCCTGCAGCTAGCTGGCAGAGGACAGTCTTTTCTACTCAGGCTGTGGCTGCTTTCTTTTGTTTTGGTGTATCCGGAAAGGAAATCTGTACTGAAAGAACTATGTAGGCTGCCACTGATAACCTTCTGGAATTCTTGGGTGCCTGGCTGTTTTTGGCATCAGTATTTTGAAACAAAGGCATGGAATAAGGCATAAAGAATGTAAAGTCATCTGCTTTTTTTTTTTTTTTTTATTAAAAATGCTAAGGCCTTTGGTTCAACATGACGGCCAATACAATTAGTATTTTCAGAAGGTAAAGTCAGTAATAGCAGCTTACCAGCATAGGATTAACCTCTGGTTGGTAGGTGCATCTTTGGCAACACATTGAGGTCTGTGTAATGGAAATGAAGTGATTGTAATCTAAGGGCCATGTGATATTAGTGATCTTGTCACTGGTGACAATTCATCAGTCGTAGGATTGCTAAGAGAGCATTTAACTTCCTCTGTGGTGTTGCTCCCTCCTTGCCTAATGCAGGCCATACATGGATCGAATTCCAAACGAATTTTCTTTAGAAAATTGGAAATTATGTGCGTTTTGTAACCTGGTGGAGCCACCATTGATTTCGAAATTCAACCAACCAAGCCTTCAGTTTCATCTCATGTTGCTGCAGAAAAGAATTTTTGTGGCCAAGAATTTTCTTTTCTTTCCAGGTCACTGCTCATTTCTTTTTTGTTTATATCGCCCGCATGATTCTTCCATCATTGATTCGAAGTTCGTTCATTTTTCAAAAAATTTCCAACATGCCTGATCACACAAATTCGATGGTTACACGAAAATTGTTTTTGTGACCCTCTAATTGTGCGAAATTCGAACGAAAATTCTTAGAAAAGATTTTCGAACGAAAATTCTTTTGGAATTTGACCCGTGTATGGTCAGCTTAGGCCAATGAGATGTTACGCTGCAAAAGAGCATTTTTGTCAGTGAGGAAGCAACTTCCTTTATGGTAAATATCAGTTGTACCTGAAGTTGCCGGTGTAACATGGTCTTTAGAGCTATCTATGTGGGTGCTTATTACTTGCTTGTTAGAATAAAAAATATACGATTTGGGTAATTTAATCTCATATTCTTGAGTGGTTAAACCTCTTGTTGCATTCCATATGCTGCAATAGAGATGATTTCCAACAAAACTACATTGCCCAGTAGTATGAGAATAAAATCATCCATGTAGTTTATTTCCTATTCTAATACAGATTAATATTCCAATTAGTGCTAAAATTGCTGAGAACTCCACATAAAAAATAAAAAGAGAAACAAAAGCTTCAAAACACCTAATTTTAAACCACATCCAGTCACCACAGCAGCCACTTGGGCACAAACTGTCTCATTCTAGTACAGTAATCTGATTTCCATCTGCTTATTATTACAGTTTCTTCAGTGGTACTTGTCTCATCCACATTGTTTCACTTTCAGGAATGACTGCTCTGCCTTCTGTTAAATGATTCATTTGTAGCTTTTACTGACAAATGGAAAGACATTATTTTCAGGCAGATGTATTGAATTGCCTTGTGCCAAATGCTCTTTTATGTATTTTTTGACAATCAAATATTTTCTTTTCAGTGGTAGTTCAGCTGTCATTGTAAATTGAAGATCCCAGAAAAGAACACTTGTTCTGAGGCTGCACACACCTACAATAATTTCTTAGAAAGTCATAGTTGAAGATTCCTGCACACAGACTTCCACGCCCAGGAAAAAAAAAAAAATCAATTGGTAAAAAGGAATTTATCACAAAGCCAAAATACCGCTAT